AATAAACTTCCAGAAAGCCCCACAGATTTTTAACTGGGAAATCTACAGTCTTGACCCCTAACTCCTCAGCCAAATAAAATCTGTCACAGGTTCCACAAAAAGAGTAGAAACCATAAATAATGATATATTTTGATATTCATGTGTTTTGGATGTGGTCACTTACAGACCACCTACCGTGATCTAACAGTGAGCCTAATTAATGCAGAAATGCGTGCGCGCAGAAGTAAGACACCGACATCGTTTGCAGTTTGTCAACTTCCCAATTTCCACTTTATTGAGGAACTAAACATAGCATTTATAGGTCTTATGACGTAAGCGAATCATATGCGATGATTGGGTGAATAGTCCCCTAAGTTTCCTGTGTGTTCTTTCATCCGTGTTGATATCTTCCAATCATTGTCACAAATGAGACTCATTCCCTTTTATGAGGGTTGTTTACGTTGAAAGGTGCTTTTTCTTCTACTGAGTCACCTCGGGCGAGACTCCGGATGAAGGCGCCATCCTAATTATCATTGTTCTGTTAACCTATATCTGATTGTTTACTTAAAAGAGTAAGGAATTTAAAAAGCAAGAGGCAGAGAGAAGCAAAACTATAAAATTGTCATTTTACTGATTATCTGACAAAATACGGATTGTCTATCACAATCCATTACACCAGTGGTTCTCAACCTTCCTAATGCCGTGACCCTTTAATACAGTTCCTCATGTTGTGGTGACCCCCAACCATAAAATTATTTACCCAGTAATTATAATTCATGAAGTGTCGTTTTACCTCCAATACTGCTGCTTTCAACACAGTAGCTGCTTTCAACACAGTAGCTGCTTTCAACACATTAGCTACTTTTAACAGAGTAGCTGCTTTCTACACAGTAGCTGCTCTTTACACATCGGAAATATGTGTTTTCTGATGGTCTTAGGGGACCCCTGTGAAAGGGTCGTTCAACCCCCAAAGGGGTCGTGACCCACAGGTTGAGAACCACTGCATTACACGTTTTTTATGTATCATCAAATACTGCATGCACTGTATATCTCTATTATGTTTTGCTGAAAGTGCAGTGATGGCCACAGAGTTACAACAGATTGTACAAAATCTGCTAGCTTAACATCACAAACTGAGCTTTGTGTGATGACAGCCCATGTGGTGAGCACATGCTGTTAAGGGGAAGCAATAAGAGATTTTCACATGTGAAACTACTAATCAAGAAGTCTGTAACTTAAGCCAGCCATACATGGATCGAAATTCAGCCAGTTCAGAAGGGATCAGCTACATTTTCATCAATGTATGGGCAGGCTGGTTTTACAGAAAGCGATCTACCGATCGACTTCTGTACATTCAGCCGGTTGGAAACGTTCCGCAAGATCAGCATGGCTGGCTATAACTGGCAGTATGTGTGTTCTGATGACAAGGAATTTCCCCCGCCATTAGAACAAAATAGCTTTGCGGGAGTGATCGAGTATGTGGGTGAGGGAAGCAGGTCATTTTTTTTTTCCGGTTCAATCCGGTGGTTGAACAATAAAAAAGAATAGTGTATAGGCTGCCTTAACTTCTAGTCATCCAATGACAGGCACTTCCTTAGTACTTCTGGAATCAATGGAACCTGTTAACTGGACATTTATCATTTCAAGTTTGTTGATTCCACACAATCCCTCCAGTTGGCCACAGTTAAAACATCTGTCCTGATCTCTATTGTTTGCCTTGTGATAAGTTAATGCCAGCAACCTCTTCTGTTACAATCTGGTCAGAGCAGCATGATGCCAACCCTAAAAAATACGTAGGTGTTCGACTCCGTTAGCATTTGGCAGTGTTTGGCAGGTATTGCACTGTATTTAAGTTGCTCTCTTTTGGCACCAGAGTCAATTAAGCCTAACCTTGTAACTACTGATTCTAAAAAAACATGTCATGACCCCTTTTTCATAGTAGTAAACCCAATCAGGTGACCATCTTTACGAATAATTTTCATGTGTTATTTAACTTACATCTTCTCATTTCCATATATCTAAACTTAAAAACCCACATTTCCAGTGAGACACAACCATTTACCAAAGGTCACTAGAATGCACATTATGATCATCGATAAAAATATCCAGTAAACAGTTCAAGGTTTTCAGAGTCTCAAAATTTTTTAACAGCTTGAATAAATATATACGTACAATATATGTTACAATATACAGAGTGTTTCAAAAAGAATGACCCAATTTTAAAACCTTTTATCTGTGCAACCACGCACCACCGATGAATAAAACCGGCACTACTTGAACGGGCAAAGCCTAGAATTTAAAAAGACAGCCGCTAGATACCACTACTAGCGCCCAAATAGATGCTAACTCCAGTTGTTAACAAGATGGCGTAAGTGCAACAGAAGGCATTTTGTGTTCTCCAACTTAGCAAGACTGCGTCCGTAATACCGGTGCAGCATGAGTTTTGACTGCATTTTAGGATTGATCCACCAGTGTCAAAGAATATTCATCGTTGGTATGAACCAGGGGTCCTCAAACTTTTTAAACAGGGGACCAGTTCACTGTCCCTCAGACCGTTGGAGGGCCGGACTATAGTTTAAAAAAAAAAACAAAAAAAAAAAACTATGAACAAATGCGGACACAGTACAGTACAGGAGATAACAGAGACTGCGGACATACAACGGCGGACTGGGCCGGCCACTCCATAAGACGCACAGACATTTCCCCCCAAGTGTGTCTTATGGATGTCTTATCATCAGTGGGGGGGTGGAATAGTGCCCCATCGTTGGTGTCAGTGGGGGGTTGGAATAGTGCCCCATCGTTGGTGTCAGTGGGGGAGGAATAGTGCCCCATAATTGGTGTCAGTGGGGGAGAAATAGTGCCCCATCGTTGGTGTCAGTGGGGGAGGAATAGTGCCCCATCGTTGGTGTCAGTGGGGGAGGAATAGTGCACCATCGTTGGTGTCAGTGGGGGGAGGAATAGTGCCCCATCGTTGGTGTCAGTGGGGGAGGAATGGTGCCCCATCGTTGGTGTCAGTGGAGGAATATTGCCCCATCATTAGTATCAGTGACACCAATGATGGGGCACTATTCCTCCCACTGACACCAATGACATGTAACTTGCTGACCCCTGCTCCAGCATGGTGCTGCTGCAGCCAGCATACCTGGTTGCAGCAGCACCATCAGCACGGCACACTTACCTGTCAGCTGTCCTTCTTCACATCGGCCTCTCCCTCACTCGATGTTCGCGGGCCCGCTCGGCTCCACCTCCTCGCAGGTGATTGGCCGCCTGTGTGCCTTCCCTGAGCTACAGTTCTGGCACCCAATCACCGGTGAGGAGGCGGAGCAGAGTGGCAGGAGTGAGGGAGTGGCCGGAGTGAATGAAGGAGCAGCGCTTCCTGAACTGGATCGTCGTGGGACTGGGACCGGGGCCAAGTAAGGTACAGCAGCCCCCTGCCCACCCCTGTGCTCAGTGTCCCTTCCTGTCCCGCCCCTGCCAGCGGGCTGGATAAATGGCCTCGGCGGGCCGCATGTGGCCCGCGGGCCATAGTTTGAGGACCCCAGGTATGAACAATTTGAAGATTAGGGGTGTTAATGTAAGGGGAAGATTCCAGGGTGACCATGCACTTCAAAGGAAAATGTGCAAAGAAGGTTTTTTCAGCGAAATCTGCACAAATCTGCTCAGTGTGCTAGACAGGAACTTGCAATCCCTCATACAACTGTTTGGCATGTGTTAAGATGATGTTTGCTCCTGAGGCCGTACCAGCAGCAACTGGTGCAAGCTCTTTGTGTGGAGAACGACAGATTCTTACCGCAATTGATTTTTAGTGATGAAACAACGTTTTATCTAAGCGGTAACATTTTATGTCACAATGTTCACATATAGGGACTTGAGAAGCCACAAAAACTTGTAGCATGAGTGAGATTTATCAAAATTGAATGTGTTTGTTTGCCATTTCGTTTACAAAGATTTATAGCCCATTCTTTTTTGATAGAAACACTGTTATGGGATATTCCAATCTTGAAATGCTGAAGGACTGGCTTTTCCTACAACTTGATGAAGACCCTGAAGATTTCATTTTTCAGCAAAACGGAGCACCACCCATTGGCACAACCAATTTCGTCAGCTTCTAAATGAAACAATGCCTCAACGTTAGATAGGTCACACGGGACCCCAAGACTTGGCACTACACTCTTGGCCCCCTAAGATCTCCAGACATTACACCCTGTGACTTTTTTTGTGGGGATATGTAAAACAACGTGTTTACACCCTGTTCCAAATTATTATGCAAATGATATTTTCTCATTTACCTAAATAATTGATGTAAATAACAGTCGGCATAATTCTCAGGTGACAACTATTAAGAGTACAATTCACATTTTATTGAACAAACCTCCTAATGATAACAGGATTTTTGTTCCAAATTATTCCGCACAGTAAGTTTCAAAACACTTTATAGGTTGTAAAGAACTGAATATTGTCATTTGTTGTGTTTGCAGCATATTTACTGAAATCAAAACTATTTCAATCAAACTTTTAACAACATTGTAACTTTGTAAACATTTGAAGCGATCACGTTACATTGTAACATAGGAGCCCTTATTTGATAGCAGCTTCACAAGTCTTGCATCCATTGAACTTGTGAGTTTTTGGACAGTTTCTGCTTGAATTTGTTTGCAAGATGTCAGAATAGCCTCCCAGAACTGCTGTTTGGATGTAAACTTCCTCCCACCCTCATAGATCTTTTGCTTGAGGATGCTCCAAAGGTTCTCAATAAAATTGAGGTCAGAGGAGGATGGAGGCCACACCATGACTTTCTCTCCTTTTATCCCCATAACAGCCATTGATAGAGAGGTATTCTTTGCAGCATGAGATGGTGCATTGTCATGCATGAAGATGATTTTATTACGGAAAGTATAGTTCTTCCTTCTGTACCAGGGAAGAATGTGGTAAGTCATAAACTCCACATACTTTGCAGAGGTCATCTTTACATCTTTGGGGGCTCTAAAGGGGCTGACCAGCTCTGTTCCTATGATTCCGGCCCAAAACATGACTCCACCACCGCCTTGCTGACGTCGCAGCCTTGTTGGAACAAGGTGGCCATCCACCAACCATCCACTACTCCATCCATCTGGACCATCCAGGGTTGCACGGCACTCATCAGTGAACTGGACTGTTTGGAAATTAGTCTTCATGTATTTTTCTGCCCAATGCAGCCGTTTCTGCTTGTGAGCATTGGTTAGTGGTGGCCGAATAGAAGGTTTATGCACAGTTGCAAGACTCTGGAGGACTCTACACCTTGATGTCCGTGGGACTCCAGAGCCACCAGCAGCTTCAAATATCTGTTTGCTGCTATGTGCCTTTATCTGCACCAACCCGTCTGTGCTCTGAATCAGCCACAAATCTCTTAATAGTGCGATGATCACGCTGAAGTTTTTGTGATATATCGAATGTTTTCATACCTCGTCCAAGGCATTGAACTATTTCACTCTTTTCAGCAGCAGAGAGATCCTTTTTCTTCCCCATATTGCTTGAAAATGGTGCTCTGCTTAATAATGTGGAACGCCGTCCTTTAGTAGTTTTTCCTTAAATTGCGCTCACCGGCCAATCTAATTATCACAGGTGTCCCAGATTGTTTTTAGTGATCAAAAGAGCCCTGACACACAATGCCATCCATGAGTTAAACTGAAAAACAAAATATTTCATCTTTGTGACACTTAAATAGAATTTGCATAATAATTTGGAACGCGGTGTATGTTCCACTATTGCTCATTGACTTGGATGAGTTAAAAAATAGAATCACGGCTGCAGTAACGTCTATGGAAGAAGACTATCTCAGACGCGTTGATGTTATCCGTGTAGCAGGTGAAGGGCACATAGAGCATTTATAACATGGTGAGTAAAACTTGAGTACTTATTTATTAGTTTGTAATTTGCTATGTATCTGTAACACATTTCCTTTATTAAATATTTGAAATTGTTCATTCTTTTTGAAACACACTGTATATATAACTGCCAAACTTTATTATATGAATATTTTATTGAATGATGACCATTGGTAACAAATAGCACTGGGCTATATTATGGGTCATTGTACAGTGTCTAGAGGTCTGTTTGGATAGATTGTATTCAGATGTTGGCAGCAATGTGAGTAAATGCAGACATATGCAGGTATTAGAGAGGAACCCATGTGTCTAGAGGTCTACTGTAAATCAAATAAAGCATGTAAACACAGTTTGCAGTCATGCAGACATTGTGGATGTTAACTTAATTCATCCATATACTGGTAAACTACAGCAGCCCATTGAAAGAAAATGTTGGGTCATCTGGAAGCAAATACATAACCTTGAATCAACATAAAGCCTGGTCAAGCAGAAAGGGGAATATTGTGTTTTGAGATGTATGAAAACTATTTAAAATATTCCAGGGAACACCTTAAGCAGAACTTCACCCTAAAGGGGAAGTTCTGTTTTATGCCCTCCTCCCACCCTTCTGTTTTTGGCACTTTTTTGGGGGGAAGGGGGAGTGGGTACTTGGTTTTGAAAGGTACCCACTTCTGGTCAGATTGCTGTGTCAATCCACCAGAAGTTCTCCTACCCTTCCCCTCGCAACCTTCTGGGGCACATTGCAAGTCCCAGAAGGCTGCTGTCAGGAATAGACTCAGCACCGGTGGTGGGACTCACCTGCCGTGTAGGCTGCAGTACCAGGGCTGACCAGCGGGTGCTCTCAGCAGCCAGAAGCTCACTCCTGCAGTCAGCCAACAACTGGGGCTGATTGCAGGAGGTGTATTTAAGGAATGGCCAGACCTGCAGTCAGGGCCTTGGTGTTTCCCATGAGCCCCTGCACCTTGTATCCTGTGTTCCTGTTCCTCTGCCTATCTGATTTGTTGTCGACTCTGCATTGTTCCTGACCCTGCTGACCGTTTCCTGTTTAACCCCTGGCTTGCCTGACCATTCTTCTGCCTGATCCTCTGTACCGTGCTGCCCGTGAGTTACTGAACCCGGCTTGAGACCCTGACTATTCTCTGCCTGCTCCTTCGGTACCTCGCTGCCCTCACGTTGCTGACCTGGCCTGCCTGACAATGCCTTACGCTACCCAGACGATCCATCCATCCTGCACGGATCCAGCCATCCCTGCTCACACCTTCTGCCTCTTCACATCAGGCTTCCAACCTGCATATAACTCTGGCGGATCCCTCTACCATGAGCAGGTGTACTCAGGGGCCGCGACCTGGTTCCTGTCTGCTCCAAGTCCATCCCCACCATCAGGGGCCCTGGTGAATAAGCAGACTGGGACTTAGACTCCGCGCCCTGGGGAATCCTGTCCTGAGGACTGCTAGGGGTACTACCAGACGGTCGTTAACCCTTTGAGGACCAAGGGACGTATTTGTCCCATGTTTTTAATTGTGTATATCATCTGATTAAGAACTTAAAACTCTATTTTTTTTTTTTGGTTTGAGTCAAAATATTAGTTCTTATCAACAAACAACAAATGGATCTAGCTTTTTGCCAATTATTTCATGAAATGGCTTAGTTACAGCAACTGAAGTGTACGAACTTTAAAAACAAAAAAATTGATTCTTTTGGCGTTCCAAAATCTTACGGTCCTCAAAGGGTTAACAGAACCATATGGCCGGCCTGACCCTTCCACCTCTCCAGCCCTGACTGTGCCTGTGTTCCTGCACATACTAAGATTAGTGGATGGTTGGTTTATTTACTGTGCGTTGTATAATTGGGTAGCTAATAATAAATTATATTATTATATCATTCCTGAAGCCTGTTACTTCCCTGTGTCAGTCCACACATTTCTGGTCATACTCAGATCCCTGACAGCTGCAAGACCATCAGAAAGCACAGAGCAGCTCACACATACACAGTGGGCTGCCAGCTCTGAAGCTGAAAGGAAACACAAATGGTTGCCCACAGTAAAAATGCCGGGGACCCGAAGACCAGTGAAGAATCAGTTTGAGTGAGGATGGCCCTGGACAGGTGAGTATTTGTACCCGCTAGCTTTTATTTTTTTTTTTTTTTTCAAACAGCGCAAAGAACTGCATTAATAAACCAAACAATAATTTTTTTCTAATAAAATAAAGATTGCTCAAGGACTGGCAATAAAAGTGGCTCTGGGAAACCAGTTATCACAATCAAAGTCCGTGGAGACGAATACTGCAGGGCCATGGATTAATGTGAGTGCTATTGCTCTATGGTAGCCCATCCCATAGACATAACAAGCAACAGATCCTTCAATTTTAAATATTTTTTTAGCTCTCTGTCTTTAGGCTCTAATTGAAATATAAGGGTATTACTGTAAGGTTTTTGTCCACTTTAATTTGCTCCCTCTTAAGCTAATATGGAAATCAAATGCATCAATGGTGCCATGCCATGTTAACACACCCTAGACATATGTATCTAAAGTATTGGCCTATCCTACTGATTTGAGCAAGATCACATAATGATCAGAAACAAAGATTGTTTCTTCAGCTGGATCATGCATGCTTACGAGCCGCCACATGACATAATTTTCAGACTGCCAGTCAAATATGTCAAATTGAAAGACATCTGGCTTCTGACTTTTGCTATCGCTACTCTTGATGAAAAAAAGAATAGGATGATACACAAGAAATGTTTATATGAAAAATTAATTTTGGAAGAAAATGTATCAACAAATGTGTTGGATGTTGTGCTCATATGACTACAGTCCTGCGCTGGGAAGCCTGCTATGAGACAAAAGTGTTGAATAATCTCCATTTATTTCTACGGAAAGGCCATCTAGTTTACATCCCAATGGCAGAAGGATTTCGGTAATAATGTGGCAAGGTAGCTATGAAATTCCCAGCAGTCCACATAGCAAAGATCTCAGAGAAACATTGAAAGGAAGGTAAAAAGTAACATACTGAAATAAGGTATACAGTCAGGTCCATAAATATTGGGACATGGACACAATTCTAACATTTTTGGCTCTATACACCACCACAATGGATTTGAAATGAAATGAGCAAGATGTGCTTTAACTGCAGACTGTCAGCTTTAATTTGAGGGTATTTACATCCAAATCAGGTGAACGGTGTAGGAATTACAACAGTTTGCATATGTGCCTCCCACTTGTTAAGGGACCAAAAGTAATGGGACAGAATAATAATCATAAATCAAACTTTCACTTTTTAATACTTGGTTGCAAATCCTTTGCAGTCAATTACAGCCTGAAGTCTGGAATGCATAGACATCACCAGACGCTGGGTTTCATCCCTGGTGATGCTCTGCCAGGCCTCTACTGCAACTGTCTTCAGTTCCTGCTTGTTCTTGGGGCATTTTCCCTTCAGTTTTGTCTTCAGCAAGTGAAATGCTGCTCAATCGGATTCAGGTCAGGTGATTGACTTGGCCATTGCATAACATTCCACTTCTTCCCTTAAAAAACTCTTTGGTTGCTTTTGCAGTCTGCTTTGGGTCATTGTCCATCTGCACTGTGAAGCGTCCAATGAGTTGTGAAGCATTTGGCTGAATATGAGCAGATAATATTCCCGAAACACTTCACAATTCATCCGGCTGCTTTTGTCAGCAGTCACATCATCAATAAATACAAGAGAAGCAGTTCCATTGGCAGCCATACATGCCCACGCCATGACACTACCACCACCATGCTTCACTGATGAGGTGGTATGCTGAGGACCATGAGCAGTTCCTTCTCCATACTCTTCTCTTCCCATCACTCTGGTACAAGTTGATGTTGGTCTCATCTGTCCATAGGATGTTGTTCCAGAACTGTGAAGGCTTTTTTACATGTCGTTTGGCAAACTCTAATCTGGCCTTCCTGTTTTTGAGGCTCAACAATGGTTTCCATCTTGTGATGAACCCTCTGTAGTCACTCTGGTGAAGTCTTCTCTTGATTGGTGACTTTGACACACATACACCTACCTCCTGGAGAGTGTTCTTGATCTGGCCAACTGTTGTGAAGGGTGTTTTCTTCACCAGGGAAAGAATTCTTCGGTCATCCACCACAGTTGTTTTCCGTGGTCTTCCGGGTCTTTTGGTGTTGCTGAGCTCACCGGTGTGTTCCTTCTTTTTAAGAATGTTCCAAACAGTTGTTTTGGCCACGCCTAATGTTTTTGCTATCTCTATGATGGGTTTGTTTTGTTTTTTCAGCCTAATAATGGCTTGCTTCACTGATAGTGACAGCTCTTTGGATCTCATCTTGAGAGTTGACAGCAACATATTCCAAATGCAAATAGCACACTTGAAATGAACTCTGGACCTTTTATCTGCTCATTGTAATTGGGATAATGAGGGAATAACACACACCTGGCCATGGAACAGCTGAGAAGCCAATTGTCCCATTACTTTTGGTCCCTTAACAAATGGGAGGCACTTATGCAAACTGTTGTAATTCCTACACCGTTCACCTGATTTGGATGTAAATACCCTCAAATTAAAGCTGACAGTCTGCAGTTAAAGAGCATCTTGTTCGTTTCATTTCAAATCCATTGTGGTGGTGTATAGAGCCAAAAATGTTAGAATTGTGTCGATGTCCCAATATTTATGGATCTGACTGTATTTATATACACTTAAAGATTTTTTTAAGCAGCATATGGAGCAAAGCACAAATCCAAAAGCAATCACAATTAACTGAAACTAGTATTTTGATGTTTGATTATTTTTGGTAACTATGGCTACTCCACTTATTAAAATGCATAACTAGCTGAATCCAGTGTCAGCCATGGATTTGCAGATGAGTTCTGCTTATCCTCAAAATAGCTCTCTTAACTTGTGACATTGTTTTGTTTGTAACAGTGAGAGGATTGTTTCATGAACAGATAGACTAAGGCCCCATGTACATGGGACGTTTCTGAATGATGGAAACTGACTGCTCAAAAACGTAGATTAAAAAACGTCTGTTTAGCCACGTTTACATAACGCGTTTATGCGCGTTTGCGTTTAGAAGCGTTTTTTAAAGATAAGCACAGAAGAACCTCCCAAATGCCCAGAATGCACTGAAAAGTAGTAAATTATTAACTATTTCAGACTGTTTCAGAGAAATACACACAGTAGAAGCAGAGACAGCAGTATGTGTTGAGATAATTAGGTGTGAGTTGCTCATTAATATTTCTTTTGTTTCCAAGGGTGGGAAGGTGTCTGCTGGAGGGAGTCATTAAGGTCACCTGGCATGGGGTCTTCATGAGGAATTTGAGGTGTGAATGGGTATTAACATATCTTTTGTTTCCAAGGGTGGGAGAGGGCTGAGGTGTGAATTGGTCATTACAATGTGTCACAAGCTTGGTAGGAACATCCTGTGTTCAGTGTTTTGTCCATCTGAGCACACTGAAAACTCTTTCCATGCATTTTTCATGATGAAAAAAGGCTCTGGACAGCTTTGGGAACTGGAAGAGTTAAAAAAAATTTCAAATGCAAATGCTTATAAACGCGATTTGCCGTGTTTAGACGCGTTTAGTCGCGTTTACAAGCATTTTGTGTTTGAAACGCTGATAAAATCAACGTCTCAACGCAAGTTTGTTGCGTTAAAAAAAAACGACTGAAAACTCAACTGCCTGTAAACGACTGAAAACAAAGATGTGTAAATGGACACATAGGAAAACATTAGGGTGAGTTCAGGGGCTGCTGAAAAAATGCCGAACAGCTCCTAAACTTGAGTTTATCAGCTGCAGTGTACATGAGCCCTAAAAGAGAATTCCAGAATGCTAGACCCAAATCTCAGGGCAGATCTTGTCAAATCCCATTCATGATAGTTATTAAATCCCAAACCCCAAAAGATTGGCCTAATAACACAGGTCTGCAAAAAAATTTTTCTCAAGAGCTGTTTTGGTTATTCCACGTAATGTTTATGTTTTGTGGTGCGGTGAATCCGAAAATGACCTCCATTTTGTCATAGGGCATCACGTTTCCTGACAATTTAGGTAACTATGTTAAATAAGGCAATGCCTCAAAATAAATGGAAATAGACTTATAAAATTAAAGTTTTATTACAATTTTTTCATGAAAATCCTTTTTTGAACCTGAATGAGCTCACCTACACACACTAAACTCAATTCTTCTTCCCTGTGAGGCTCCTCTTGGTGCATTTACACTTGTGAGTACATCTGGAATGTCTCTCTGAAGCATCCAACAGTAGTCTGCCATCATTGTAAGGCTCCATTTTCCCTGGTATCTCCTTTCCATCTCTTTAATGTCTTGGTGGAATCATTCTCCTTGTTCCTCACTCACAGCTCCCAAATATTCAGGAAAGTAGTCAAGGTGGGACTGGAGGAAATGCACTTTCAAACTCATCAGGCAACCTAAAGCTTGAAATGCTTTCAGCATTCGTCCGACGATCTTTTTGTAGTGAGGATCTTTGTTATTGCCTAAAAATTCCTGTATGACTTCTTTAAATGCAATCCACCCTTCTTTGTGAGGATCCATCATGGTATTGACAAACTCTTCATCAACTATAAGCCTTCTAATGTCTGGTCCGACGAACACACCTTCCTTCAATTTTGCCTCTGACAGGCCTGGAAACTTGGTGACCAAGTATTTGAAGCATTCTTCATCTCTTGGAAGTGATTTTATGAATTGCTTCATCAATCCCAATTTTATGTGGAGAGGTGGTAGAAGAACTTTATGGGAAGGTACCAAAGTTTCTCAGAGGACATTTTTTTCACTGACTGTTAGCACCATTGGCTCCCAACTCTACTTGTTCCAGTGATTTTGTGGGTCTTGACTGTCCCATAGACACAGAAAACAAGGGTATTTGGTATCCCACCCACTGGATTCTTCAGGAAAGATGAACCCCTTCTACCATTAGAAGCCCAGACTCAGGGCTGAGGCTTACACATACAGCATGCTGCTGAGTATCCCAGTAGTCAGACATGTCACTCAGAGCAGCACTTGTATTCACCCCCTTTGCAGGGGGGGGAGGGGCAGAGATTGTTTACCTGCAAATAACAACAAAGGGCCAGAAGAGAACTAGGGAAATGAGGAAATAGAATTTTTCTTCCCTAAAACTTGCTTAGCTTATGTATATATTGCTGACCATCAGATTTACAGTGCTTTATTTTTTTTACATAACTCGGACAACCCCTTTAAGGTTTTTTTTGCATTTTATATCTTAAATGCACTTATGTGAATTAATTCATAGTAATTTGGACTTTAAATTTGGTTAAAAACCCATAATATAAAAAAAAATACCACAAATTAAAAAAAAATGTAGAAATTTGAAGACAATTTTGCATTTCGTGGCAAATCATGACGTCTAGGAGTTTTTTCAATATTTTATTTGTTTTCAGCACACCCAAAATACATGGAAATTAGATGAAACAGCTTTTTATTCGCAGACCTTTGTAATACAATGCCAATCCTCCAGAGGCAAATTTTATGGAAATCCCAGTGGAAAAATGGATACAATAAAACATCCTCCCATACTACTCCTCTGGTAGATGACACTTCTGCCGTGCAGGCAACATCTGTTTTACAAGGCTGATCACCTTCCTAGTTCATAAAATAATAAATCATGTCATACCTTTTCTGAACTACTATATATTATATTATGCATGGTCTCCCAAGAGCACTGTTGGAATTTCTGTTTATGGATAAATGTTCCTGATCAATATGTTAAGAAATACTCTGGTATCCTAAACATGCAAAATTGTCCCATGGTAATTTCAGGGTAAATATGTCTAGTCTAAATCATAGACACGCAGGAAACCAATAATGACGCAACACTTTTTAAGAAAAGAGAACATTCCCATGAGATATACAGCAGGCCATCAAAAATATTTTGGAAGGTTACATAAAGGTTTAAAAATAAATTCTGGCATATGCCCATGTGCATTTAAAGAGACAAATAGCAAACAGCAGTCTTTTCCTGCTATTTTTGACTCCCTCGTCACAGATGACTTTTTTCCTTGGAGTTGTCTTTAATGAGATTTGCTTTACTGTGTCTTGGCAGAGACAGTGAGTGTCACAGAAAGGACAACCTTTCAGACGGGTCTGCAGATACAGATTGCAGCTGTGTTTATATCCAGTCCGACCAGATGTGGACAGGCTGCCAGATGTACCAGTCAATTTTATGCCTGTGTCTTATTCTCTGGTGGTCAAATTTCACACCCTAAAATACCAGATTATACTTAATGTGGAAGACAGCTCAAAATGTGGTTTTTATGCTGTTTCCAAATGTGGTGGAAATATGGGGAATTCTCAAAGCCAGCTTATCGTTGCAATGTCAGGTCTCGATTCAGAAAAAAATATAATCAAATCTGATGGAAAACACAGACACGATAAAGCAGCAGACACAGGAAGAGGATTTGAAAATTAGCAATTCCAACCAGTACCATTTACAAAATAATGATCTTCATTTGCAACCCCTCACTATGTTGTTTAGAATCCCAGCCCTGTAATCAACCAAAACACCAGGCATTCCATCCAGGTTGTTGGATCTAAATTGTCATGGCCCACGGTCGCCACCACCAGCAGGCGACAATCGCACAGCCGCGACTAACAGTAATACGTCACGCCCACGGCGCCAGACCCCAGACCTTCTCACCAAACTCGTGACCGAAGGGCCGGCCGATCCAAAACCGCGGTGTGACGCGTGTAACAATGCCCCACCCAGCCGCACCCTACACAGCGATTGCCCAGCTAATGGTTTACAATCGGTGCCTGCAGCCTGAATGCGCTTGTTACTGGGTCGGGTTAATTACGCAACTAACCCTCTACTGCCACCACCACTTTTGTCGGAGACTGGGAAACTCCCGTTATCAAATATACACTATAATGATTGAAATATTGATCTATATAGCACGGCCCGTGGACCTACTATACAGAGATATAACAAACAGTAGTGTCTCTTCAAAGGCAGGGATTCGTGAATTGCAAGTAAGCGCTTAGAAACAGTTTAACACTTTCAGAAAGAAAGATTTATTACTAAAAGCGTCAGACAGATGCAATAAAAATATTTACAAGGAGATGTCACAAATATATATATATATGTATATAAAGACACAGCAAAGAGATATTTAGGAAGAAGGTTACAGGGTTACAGTACTTGCCCATATGCCTGGGTTTGCAAATCCAAGATGCAGAGCAGAAAGGTTCTTTGATCTCCTCTATTACGATGTTACCTTTGAGATCTCTGTGTGTGTCAAGCTCTAACTCTCTTGAAAGTCCCTCTCAAGGGGAGCGGGGCTCTGACTACACGTTTTGGGAGTGGTCATTGGGGAACTCTAAACTAAACTACCAACTTCATATCCCATGATATGAACCATACAGTTGACCTGAGGAATGTGCATTTACTCTGGTCAGTTTGATAATGTGTGGGCTTACTCCGTTTTGGGTGACAAAAGTTACACTTTAGTAGACGGCCTGTCTCCACTCTCATGTCTTCCTGGTTGTTCCACGCCATCTGCCAGGAGATAAAGGAGTTTGCCTCTCAGGAAGGGAGGAGGGTAGGAATGAGGCTGAGGAATGCCTCAAATAAACAGACAGAACACGAAAAAGAGAGTGGAAAAGGGGGACTCTGCTCCAACAAGGATGAGCAAGTTTGCCACATAAATGACTGCAGTGATGTCAAGTATATTGATAGAGGAGGTAGATTGGATTGTTCCTCGATCAATATAGTTGATAGTTCTTTTTGAACGACCCGTTAAGCCATTTCCTCAAAATAAAGAATTTAAAAAAAAAGTATATTGATAGTGTAAATTTTGGAGGCTCTTATGATGAAATCTTTGCATCTTACATGCACATGGCTCTGCTCTCCTGCTATGGCAAATACCGGAAGGTTCAATCTCACTGAAGGATTATTTTATTTTATATCATGGAGAATTATGTAAAGGGAAGCTCCTTCATCTACAGTGGAAAGTTGAGAACTCAAGAAGAGATTTTCTTATGTTTGGATCCTAAGAGATTCCAAGCGTGTCCAACGCCAAACTTTTTTTGTTTTGCTTTGGATAGAGTAGGGGTAAAACCCTTGTAAGGTGTTTTTTTGCCACGTGTGTCCCTCTGGGAAGAAGTTTCATTCTTACTTTTCTGGCATGTAGTGAGTAAAACTTTTTATTCCTGTGAAGAGCTACAATCTGATACAATGCAAAACTTATGGATGTATCAGATAGTATGTACCAGGGGCGGACTGACCATTTGGAAACTCGAGCAATGCCTGAGGGCCTGGGGTCAGTAGGGGGCCCCATGAGATGCCCCTGGTACCTTTTTCATAGGCTTTTTTGAGTTTGGGCAAGGACACAGGGGCCCCATGATCCCCTATTGCCCGGGGGCCCCATAATTTGTCAGTCCGCCCCTGGTACGTACCCTGCTGGATGCTGTGTTTCTTCCCACCAACCCCTATGTTACTATACCACCCAATTAGAGTCCATGTTGCACTTGTTTTGTTTCAAAAAAATAATTTTTTTGTTTCTGTCCACTCAACAGTTAGCTCTTTAGCTTTTTGTACTGCTTATTAAAAATTACCAAAAATAGATTTTACCTGAAGCATTATATTGCAATACATTTTCATCTTCCAATCAATGTGTAAGAATTAAACCATAGCCATGGAGGGTCCAGCTGAGTGTGTATTCCAGGTTATTACATTTCTCGGTTAAAAAAAAAAAAAAAGGATAGGGATTCCCATTTAATTAGAATTCCTATTTAATCTATTTTTCAACTATTCTTTTAAACTGAAATTATTTAATATTGCTATATGCTTTTTCTTAACCTCTTGCCGCCCAGCCACTGCATTAAAACAGTGGCAGGGCCGCACGGCTGCGCAAAAGCGTTCCCGAGGTTTTCGCGGGAAGGGGCGCGGCTGTCACCATTTGATCCCCGAGGGATCAATCATTCGGTTTCAGCCAGTGATGTCCGGCTGAAATCAGATGATTGGTCCCTGTCCTATCCTGTCCTGTGTTAACAGTTACACAGGACAGGATATGATGTCATTCTTCTCTGCCTGGGCACATTCCGTCCCAGAGAGAGAAGAAGACACAGTAAAAGTGAGTAAAACTACACATTTACAGTTAGAACACACCTAGGTCACATTTAACCCCCTGATTGCCCCCCCAGTTAACCCCTTCACTGCCCTGTCACCAGTGTCATTGATCACAGTGAACAGATTTTTACTGATTACTGTATCAGTGTCGCTGGCGACTTCCAATAGTGTTACGCCCCTCATAGATAGCGCCAGTTTGCCCGCTAGTACACCAGTAATCCCATTTAACCCCTTGATCCCCCCCCCCCCCCAATTAACCCCTTCACTGCCTTGTCACCATTGTCATTGATTACAGTAAACAGATTTTTAATGATCACTGTATTAGGGTCACTGGCGTCTTCATAGTGTTAGCGTCAGTTAGCGCCCCTCCCAGATAGCGTCAGATTGCCGCTAGTACACCAGTAATCACATTTGACCCCTTGATTGGCAGGAACATGCTCACTTGCACGCTAAACCTCCATTGCTAGTATAGTGTCTGATTGGATCAATATCTTTGATCAGATCAGCACTATACCAGCGTTCACATTACTATAGTATCCCCAAAAACTAAGCGTTAGCGGGATCAGCCCCGACACCTGCCAGCACCTGCGTTTAGCCCCTACGCTTTCCCCCCCCCCCCTTCTCCCCCAGCAAGTGCAGTGTCAGTAGATAACTGTCACTTGATACATTACACACAAAACCGCAGTGTTCACAGAATCAGGCCTGATCTCTGTTAGCACTTGTTGGTAAATTTTTTGTAGCGATTCAAGCAGTCCCTGACAGCCAGGCGCTCTTTTTCCCGTGAGTCGCACTAGGTACCTATAAATTACAGTATCTATATACAGTTTTTTTCATAATTTTTGGGTTTTTTTTGTTTATAGCGCAAAAAATAAAAAGCGCACAGGTGATCAAATACCACCAAAAGAAAGCTCTATTTGTGTGAAAAAAAGGACGTAAATTTCATTTATGTACAGCATTGCATGACCGTGGAATTGTCAGTTAAACTAGTGCAGCGCTGTATAGCAAATTCCTTTTGGCCTAAATTTATAATATTTATTTATTTTTTTTATAGCTGAAAGTAGAAAATATTGTTTTTTTTTCAAACATTTTGTGTTGTTTTTGTTTATAGCGCAAAAAATAAAAAGCGCACAGGTGATAATATACCACCAAAAGAAAGCTCTGTTTGTGTGAAAAAAAGGACGTAAATTTCATTTATGTACCGTATTGCATGACCGCGGAATTGTCAGTTAAACTAGCGCAGCGCTGTATAGCAAAAAAGGGCATAAATTGCAGTATCTATACCATAGTTTGTAGACGCTATAACTTTCACACAAAGCAATCAATATACACTTGAGATTTTTTTTTTTACCAAAAACATGGAGCGAATTCATTTTGGCTAACATTTTATGACTAACTTTGAGTTTACGATATATATTTTTTTATAGCTGAAAGTAGAAAATATTGTTTTTTTTTCAAAAATTTAGTTTTTTTTTTTTATAGCGCAAAAAATAAAAAGCGCACAGGTGATAAAATACCACCAAAAGAAAGCTCTATTTGTGTGAAAAAAAGGACATAAATTTTTTGTTTGGGTACAGAATTGCATGACAGCGCAATTATCAGTTGAATTAGTGCAGTGCCAAACAGCAAAAAAGGCGTGGTCATTAACCTCCCTGGCGGTCTGATTATTTCAGATTTTTTTGTGCTGAAAGCGGTACATTTTTTTTTTGCATGTAAATATGTAGTTTTTTTATTGTAGGCTGTAATTTTTAGGAATAACTCACTGAAATCTGTCCGAACAAGAGTCTAGTAAACATTCCGGGGAGGATAAAATTTGAAACACGAAATCATAAATTATAATTTAATAAATAATAATAAAAAATAATAATATAATAATAATACATTTCATTCAATAATATAATCAAACCAAAAACACTGAAATGTGAAATATAGCGCCAAGTTCGCACATCGCTGAGCAAAGTCGCAAAATCGTTTTCAGTGTCTGATGAGGAATTTCCCCACGAATCATTATCACTCAATTCTGCAAGTGGTTCTGATTTACTATCGCTGTTCTCTAGCCGGTCTAAAACCGCTTTTGACCTAAAGGGACACTTTTTAGACGCCATGGATGTTTCTCAGTTTCCAGGCAGAAAGAACAGTAAAAATGCAGGCAGGGCGCCGGACAAAGCACTCGGGACAAAATGTATGTGAAATGGTTTGATACAGGAATGTTATACGATGTGATTTTAGTGAATGTCACTTTTTGACATTTTCAAATTTCCCGCCGGGTTCTGTCCCCCGTACGTCCCGGCGCTCGCAGGGGACGGACCCAGAAGACAGATGCCGGCATCGACCGGAGGAGATGGCCGGGGACACTGCAGGAGGGACATCACGGGAGAACAGGACAAGGTAAGTGATCGAGGGATCGCAGAGCAGCGCCGCATGGTAAGCCCGAGTGTAGCTCGGGGTTACCGCTTCTGGTACTGAAACTTTACCCCGAGCTACACTCGGGAATACTGCCAGGGAGGTTAGGGGGGGTAAATCCTCAGGAGTGCAAGTGGTTAACCATATGCAATTCTTACCTAAATTTTTTTTAGATTTTTTTTTAAATATATATAAAAAACATACTGAAATTGCAACATATGTTTGGTCATTATCTAAAACTAGTAGCTGAAATAAACATGAAAAGACCCTTGTGTTTCTCCTGCAGACATTTTCCATATTACTGCAAATTAGCCTCCACCTCGTGCTCAGCACTGGCTAGAAATATAGGTTTTTAATCATGCCAAACACTGCTTTACTTGTCCTGCTGGGCCACACCCCAGTTCTCCATCCTTTGTCGTCTGCTGTAGTTCAGGCTAGGTTTCCTCTAAATATCAACTCCTACAAAATATGTCGTTCTTTTCAATAAAAAGGCAGTTTTACCACAGAGAACTGCAGGTGGGCATAACATTGAATGCTAAAAAGTCCTAGTGGAAACCTACATATTTCTCATGCCAAAGCAATCAGTGTTTAGCGGTTTCAGTGGTTTAGGGAACAGTGCTTTACTGTTTAGGGTAAAATATATTATCCGAGTTCATAAATAAGAAGTTTTACACCGTGACACGTTCACATAATCACACAGACCACATCTTATTGCTGAATAGAAAATGGATAATATTAACATTCCCATGACCGGGAATTTTAAACAGTAGCTTCTAAATTTATAACTAGATATTTGCAGTGTTGATTTAGATCAAGGAATTCTATGATGACATTTTATGTTTACATAGTTTTGTATCGGCTACTTTTGTCTGGCTTTTCTTCAGTTCTGTATATAATGGGAAAAACTCAGCATTCAGATGCAAGTATAAGAAGAAGCCAACACTAAGGTCTGTGATACCAAATCTTCAGAAATACAGGTGAAACTCGAAAAATTAGAATATCGTGCAAAAGTTCATTTATTTCAGTGCAGCAACCTAAAAGGTGAAACTAATATATGAGATAGACTCGTTACATGCAAAGCAAAATAGTTCAAGCCGTGATTTGTCATCATTGTGATGATTATGGCTTACAGCTCATGAAAACCCCAAATCCACAATCTCAGAAAATGAGAATATTCCATGCAATCAATAAAACAAGGATTGTACATAGAACAATATCGGACCTCTGAAAAGTATAAGCATGCATATGTACTCAGTACTTGGTTTGGGCCCCTTTTGCAGCAATTACTGCCTCAATGCGGCGTGGCATGGAAGCTATCAGCCTGTGGCACTGCTGAGGTGTTACATGGAAGACCAGGATGCTTCAAAAGCGGCCTTCAGCTCTTCTGCATTGTTCGGTCTCATGTCTCCCATCTTTCTCTTGGCAATGCCCCTATAGATTCTCTATGGGGTTCAGGTCAGGCGAGTTTGCTGGTCAATCAAGCACAGTAATCCCACGGTCATTGAACCAGGTTTTGGTGCTTTTGGCAGTGTGGGACAGGCGCCAAGTCCTGCTGGAAAATGAAGTCAGCATCCCCATAAAGCTCGTCTGCGGAAGGAAGCATGAAGTGCTCCAAAATCTCCCGGTAGACGGCTGCGTTGACCTTGGACTTAATGAAGCACAGTGGACCAACACCAGCAGATGACATGGCTCCCCAAATCAACAAAGACTGTGGAAATTTCACACTGGACTTCAAGCATCTTGCAGTGTGTGCCTCTCCATTCTTCCTCCATACTCGGGGTCCTTGGGCCTCTCCATTCTTCCTCCATACTCGGGGTCCTTGGGCCTCTCTATTCTTCATCCATACTCGGAGTCCTTGGGCCTCTCCATTCTACCTCCATACTCGGGGTCCTTGGGCCT